TGATCTAGTTGAGAAAATCAGTAATCTACCTTGGACATGTGCTTAGGCCTTAATGGGCTAATTAGTAGGTATTGTCCCAACCTAGGAATTCTTTTTAGTGTACAAGTCTATAGAAAATTTGCTTTGATTTGAGAAGCATATAGGCCTTTCTTTCTCCACTACCCTCTGCTCTGCTACTTTCTCTAACTTTTTGGGTGTTAAAAGACTAATCCCCTTTGAACATGTGCATAAGCTTCTAATGCCCCATTAAAATATATATTATGTTTAACTTTGGCTGGTTCAACCCAAAAGCATGATGCAGGATCCAATTTTAAGAAGATATATTCTTCATAAAGCACTTTTTGTAAGATAGGTATAGTTCTTTTTAAACCCTGCCTTGTCAGCCCTTTAGACAAGTGCTTCTCTGATATTCTTTCTCCATTCATAATATTGCTCTGAAGTTTCCTTCCAATTTTAATAATTATTCTTTAGCCAATGCATGGTTGGTGCTTTGTAGATTACAATAAACTCATGAAGATAGTTTTTCAAGGGTCTAAATCTTCTGCACTAACTTCAGATGGGATCCTATGAACCGTCTTTGTGCTGAGAATGACACATTGAGTTTTATTCAAATATTCTTGCCTTGATGAAGTACCCAGGAAATAGGTTCTCCCCAGCTTGAAGTAGTGGAATCTTACAATGACAACCTTAAAGCAAACTGATCACTATTTTCATTTTTTAATAAAAAGTAATGGATCACTAATTTGTTAAAAACCAATTAAGTCACAGGAATATTTATTCAACCTTGCTAATCTATATACTGTTCAAACGGGTTCGATGGCAAGTTGTATCTAATGCAAAACACATAACCAGTGAAGGTTAATATAATGTTGGTCGTTACACTAATTTAACTTGTACGATTCTTTAACATATATAATATAAGGACTTGACAGATTTTTTAATAGAATCTCAAAATACTAAAACTAAAATCGAGGTGGTTGCTTGGCATCTGCTAAACATAGAAGTATGTGAAGATAGTGTTGTATTTATATGCATTTATTTTACCAAGTTAGAAAAAAAAGATATAATGGCCACAAAACATACTCAAATCCTTTAGCATTATTTCTCAAATGTCTTGTAGGCATACTCCTGCAAAACTCTCTTTGATTAGTTTTTAGATATTTTATTGCATAGGAGTACCGTTGAGATTGTGCCCGTACAATAGATCCCATGTTAGATACATTATCCAGATGATGCTCCAATGGCGATGGCTTATGTACATGTATGCTGCGCCTGCCCAAAAATATATACTTTATAAAAATAAGAGTTATATATTATTAAGAGAAAAATGTGTCTCATTTCAAAAGATGTAAAATTGTGTCATATTAAGTGAAAAAAAAAATAGATCATTAAGGAGAGAGAATGCACAAAAAAAATAAAAGTGTAAATCTCGTTTCTTTGTAACAGTAAAATAACACTTTTTTTCTATTATTATAGATTTATACTTAAGCCAACAATAGAATTTGTATATTATTCTACTTCTATATGTGCTTTTGTGTGAGCTCACACCAGTGACACTGTAGAAACTTATCAACTCTTAAACTCAAGTTTGTTTACCACTTAAGTCAGTACTCTCGTGGGCAGCCACATAATAATCGTCATAAGTTATGATGCTAAGACAAGTTTTTAATTATTTGAATCATATTCAGGGTATCACTGATATTAAATAACTGAAGCAGTTTTCCTTTTTATAAAAAATATATAGGGCTCGTGGACATGATACAACAAGAGTAGATAGGATAAATGGGCTAAATAATAGCAGGATATTTTATCTTATGTTTAATGTGTATTAGACAAACAATATGATGTAATTGTATTATCCTATTCTATATTTGGAATAGATAAGATAATATCGGAATATGATATAAATAGATAAAAATACGCTGTATAAAAAAATTATATAAATTTTTAAAATTGATTTCTAAACTATTTCTTTTCCCTTTCACTTATTTATACATAAGTTATATTTTAGTTTTTTTAAAAAATTAAAAATTAATTTTAAATAAATATATTCAAAAACATAAAATCATTACCAAATTATAATCCATAGTTTAATACTTCTAAGCATATATTATATAAAAAAAATTCAAATATAATATGCAAAACCATGAAAGAACATTCAGGAGATGTTAGAGTTATACAAATTACCCTCATGCATATGATCAAATAGGTGGTGCGCATAACCTTGCTATTAACTCATCAAAATTAGGAGCAGAGTATGACGTTCTCATTGATCGAAAAAAAAAAAGATTGAATAGTTTGTATTAGTTGCACTGTTTGTGATTACCATATCTTTCTGCAAAGAGCAAGACATGCTTGCTGCGACTAAAGTTGCTTCCTAAGTTGTTATTGAATTCATTGGAATTCCATGGATCGAAAATTCTGAGAAAAGCCAAAAACAACAATTCACCGTATTCAGAACAAAAATCACCGCAGTGATGGTAGCAACTATCGTGTTTCTTGTGTGCCATGCTATTCACATATCAAGGGTTCGTCGACTGTGGCGGTGACTGGCCAATGGGTTGATGGCGGTGGCTGACCTGTGATAGGGATGAGTCTTGGGTGTTCAAAGATGTTTCCAAGAGGCAAAGGGTTTTTTGGGGAAATTTTTTGCTTATCCTATCTTGTTTGATTTTAACCCACGTCTCTCTTCAGGTTGAGAGTAGGATTATATGGGTCAGTAATGCCTCACAAAACAATGAATAATTATAGGATAGGATGTTATATCCTATCATATTTTTCTTATCCTGTTCACCAAATGGGCATGGGATTATGAATGATCATATTGCAAGATGGTTTACAATGATGGGTTTGTGAGACCCACATGTTCCTAATCGTGTTCACAAGCAATGTGTAACATCTCGAGCACTGATGAAGGAGGGGAGTAATTGTCGGTGTAAAGAGACACGGACAAAGAGAGACTCTTAATAAAAAATTATCAAATTTGTTTCAGAAAAGTCAAACTTGTAGTGATTTTAACTAAAAAAATTAAAAAATGACGACACACTTCTAGCGGGAGTTACATGAATGAATCAAATCGACAGAGAAATTTCAAAGACTATGCAGGTACGAGACTGTACAGTTTGAAATAGCTTATAAAAATTAATTGGTACTACCTATACGTGCTTGACTTGGAACAATTTTGAGATAGATAACCTCCTAGAAAGTTTTTCTCAAAAAATATGCGAGACCGACGTTACACAAGAAAAGGGGCGCTTCCCGGTTGAAAAGAACAAATATTGTATCTATGGCCATGATGCTTCTATAATTTCGTGCGTGGAATAATGAACCATCCTTTTATCTTCTAAAAACTGTTACGTTAATAAGGATATTGAGGCTATGGAATCCCTCCAACGTCTTTCCTTTTGATCGGTTTATTATGTCCACTTGGCTTCCTATGTCCTACGTAATGGCTCAAATTATTATCCTTTATCCTAACTAAAGAATCAAACATGATCAAATTCTACTTTAAAGGTATATTCCCATGGAGCATAATTTGATTCCGGGTAATAGAACATTGCATGGTAAAATTATTCATAACAAGAGTGGCCAAACCGTGCTTTACTTGAATAAATTAATAATTACATGTTCTGATTGCTGTCCTTCACAATTTTGCCTTGAAATTGAAAGAAAAGGCAAATAACTAGAGCTAGGAAATTTGATTTTTTCATCTTTTTGTCCCTTATTAATTAATTAATAATTATTTTGTTAATGATTCGAAACTATCTATCAATCTGCCCCTCTTTAATCGACTATCTTGCATTTTTAATCGACTAAATAACCAAAACAGGCAAAAATGGTTGTTGGGAGATTTAATCGACTAAATCTCCCTATTTAGTCGACTAAATTTCTCAACAGACAACAAAGGAAAACAAGTCAGTATGATTTTTTAATCGATTAAGTAGGGAGATTTAGTCGATTAAATCTCCCAACAACTATTTAGTCGATTAAAAATGCAAGGTAGTCGATTAAAGAGGGACAGATTGATAAATAATTTCGAATCAGGGACAAAATAATTATTAATTAATTAATGAAGAGTAAAATAGTCAAATAGCCTCACAAGCATTATTAGGACAAAAATGGAAAGAAAAAGGGGTCACAAAACTCATGAATATAAAACGGTTGTTAGGAATGGAAGGACATGGGGTCTATTATTTATGGTGAGTGGAGTTGTTAAGAAACAAATTGATGATGTTATATCATAGTACATGCCATGAATAATATATGCTGTGGTCTAAGATGAAGAGAGTAGTTATGCTATAGATGGAACCAAATGTGAAACTTTGGAAGCTGACCCCATACATTCTGGAGTTATCTGAAACACTTTTTGAGTGGGGAGAGTGAGAGAGAGAGAAAGAGAGAGCGGCTACAGAATCTTTGGTGGGAATAATAACTACACTGTTGTTGGCTTATTTTTGGTTTTTCCTCATACTATGTACGATCATCCCAGTTGTAGTTTGAACTTAGTAAGTAGGGAAAGCAGTTGTTAATTGTAAGCTTTTCTGAAAAAGCCTAAAATTGCAAAAAGAAATAAAGAAAAGAAGGTAAACAACCTCAAACACTCAAATGACTGTATCATATTTGATTATAGGAGAATGATCCGTTTACAAATATTTTTGACAAATTTTTATAAATTATACTATTTTTACCCGGGAGAACATAGTGAAACCTAGTGTTTTCTCAAAAAAAAATAGTATAATTTATAAAAGTTTATAAACAAAAAAATTTGTAAATATAACTCGTAATTAATTGTATCCTCTCACTCTCACTCTCACTCTCTTTATATATCCCAAAACCTCCTTTTCCTCCTCTGACTTTTCTGTTCGACACCCTTCCCTCCTTTCTTACCTTTATATTTTTTTTTCTCTCCTAATTAAACATAAATACCCACCATCTCAGTCTCTCTGTCCCCATTTACTTCTCCTTTACTTTTTATTCCTTTCAGTTAAACCTTTGAATTAAAAAGACATCTAAGCTCTCACCTTACCCTCTATTAGTGTTGCAAAAACATAGAAAACCCAAGAACCAGGATTTTCTTCTCATAATCAGTCATAGCAAGAAAAGCAACACTGGAAACAGATGTCTCCAATTCCAAAGCAGTTTTTAGGTGATCTCAGAAGCAAGCCACTTTCACTTGATCTTGAAATTTGAGAGGGTAGACAATAATACTCTTTTACTGTCATCTTTATTCTGTGCACTTAACTTCTGGTTGTCTTCTTATTTTAGTTTTCCTTGCCTTAAAAGTCTTTCTTGGTTATTAGACAAGGTAGGATCACTGGATAAAGGAAATGGTTTGTGGATTCAATCTCAAACTTCACATCATCCCATCAGTTCCCCCATTTTGCCACCACCAAACTCTGTCTCTCTCTCAAAGGCTCCAAAGTAAGCCTTTCTTTGTTGCGAAACTGTGTTTGTTCATATAGAATGAAAATCCAGGTAGATTTCATGCTAAAATCCGTGAAAATGAGGATGAAAATGAAACAAGTTTCTGCATGCAATTCTTGGTTTTGGATATGAGGTTGTTGTTAGTTCTCCATATTAATGTTTTGGTTTTTATCTGTCTTGTCTGCTGAAATGGTGGTCATTCTACCTCTTTTTGTCTCTAAATCTTGACTTGCACTTACAATCTAATAGAGCTCAAATTTAAACTGGGTGCTGCGTTCTCTCTCTTTCTCTCCTTCATCAAGGTTATGGTGTTAAAACTTCTAAGTCCATAAGTTCTTGGAAATATATAATCTGAAAGAATCTCCTATCTCTATTCCATATTGATTCCAGTCAGGATTAGTTACTTTATTCATGTAATTAATTTGTGATTCATCGACAGTCCTCCTCTGGATCAAAATCCTAGGATAGTTGATTTTTTTTGTGTGAAAATAATTAAATAGAATAGTTGACCATTACATTTTGCTACTGATTCTATCATGATTCAAATCTTCATAATTTCAAAAAGATACTAGGAAAAAATGGTTTTGTTGGTATTTTTTTTTTTTTTGGTATAACCTGGAGGTATCCCAGTTCAACCTCCTCCGGTCACCTTGCCCTCGGTGTACGGCCCTGTAGGCTAGCCCCTCATTGGAACAGAAGGTGTATTGAGCTTCGTTACCGGAAGAAGAATGAGACTAATCTCCTATTCGAGGAGAGAGACACATCCTCTGGCCCCCAAAGATTTTCCAAGAATTTGCTTGAGGCAGAGTTTGAACCCCTGACTCAAGCAAACCCTTGGGAGCTCAGTTGCCAAGTGAGCTACCCTTGGGAGTTGGTTTTGTTGGTATTTTTAGCTATGGGGCTATGGCTACTGTTATTCAACCAACCCATCTGTTGGTACCAATGGCTTTTACTGTATATAGAACCTATTTTACCTTCAATTAGAATCCCCCCCGCAATTATTTAGCGCTTGTATCTTTTATAGTTGGGCTGGCCAAACTTATTGTAAAACAAGCAAGCACCTAGTAGGAATGCTTTTTCAGCAGCCAAAGTTCATTTTCAAGGCACTTAAATCTCATGACATAATACATGAATGTGTATCTATGATCTATGCCATGACTAATTGGCTTCAACGAAGGAAGAGATAAAGTATATGTTTTTTTTGTGACTAGTAATCATTCACGGCATCAAATACCAATGTAAATCATTGACTCAAGAATTTATTGTTTTGATGATTGCTAAATATGAGCTGCTGATGCGTTTTCATGGTGCACCTAATTGCAGGATAAAATAAATCTTTTACAGCAAGCTCTGAAATAGATCTTAATCTGATTATTCTGGTGGTTCATTGATGCACCTGTTTGGTTAAATCATGAAACCAAAATTTGATCTTGAATTGGAGGCCTATGCAGAATATGAATCTGAAGTTAGCAGCCAGGTTGCTTCCAATGTATCAATTCAAGAAACTTCTGCAGGTCCTTGTAGTAACAGCCTCACTAACTCTTCCAACCTCACAAACCCAATAGGGATTCATCCAAATTTAGATGCTATTTCACTTGACTTAACTCTCAACTTCAAGAATAATGAGTTTGGGACAAGAGATTCAATAGGATTCTCATTCTCAAGCACTAGTGAGAGCAGCAATGAACCTGCCTCTCAAACTACAGCAGCAACCATTCCTCGAGTTTTCCCTTGCAATTACTGTCAACGCAAATTTTTAAGCTCTCAGGCTCTTGGTGGACACCAGAATGCACACAAGAGGGAAAGAACATTAGCAAAAAGGGCAATGCGAATGGGTTTTTTTACTGAGAGGTATGCTAGTCTTGCATCTCTTCCTCTGCATGGTTCTTACAGGACCTTAGGGATAAAGGCACACTCTTCAATGCACCATGTTTTCCCACCAACAATGAGGCCTCCCGAGATAAAAAGCAATGCAAGATTTGAGCAAGAATATCCTGGCCTTCCAATATTCTTGGAGGATGATGAGTCAGATTTGTTGTGGCCTGGTAGTTTCCGTCAGGTTGCAGAGGCAGGTGATAGTCATCAGAATTTCATACTAACTGCAAGTACAGACTTGAGTTTTAGTGAGGTAAATCCACCAGTAGACATAAAGAACTCAACACCAGATTTGACATTGAAACTCTGAAGGAGGTTATTTGGTATAATATCTGGCCTTGAGTTGTATGCTCTATTTTTATATTCTTGTAAAATAAGACATGCATGCAAGGGGCCATGATAGCTAGATTGATTACTATCCTTGGATTTCCTTTTACTTTCACCTTCAGTTTTATCTTAGGAGTTCTTTCTTTGATATTTAGCTCTGTAAGTTTCTCATTGTACAAGAGCTCTGGGAGGACAGTTTTGGAGCTTCTGTGCTTGTCATATAAATCATGTTTTTCGTTCACTGTAATTATTGAGCTTCCAGTATGTCTTCTGTGTCTTTTGCTTCTTATTCTGTGGATTATATTGACCAACCAAGGAAGATGAAAAAGACCAAATAGAAAGTAGAAAAGAGAATACTTTAAAAACCAGAAATAAATTTTCAATCTGATTTGGAGAATATTGGAGTTGGATCATAACCCTATTTCAAGGCATTTCTTGGCTTATTTTGTCACAGCTATCTCCAATAGTTGGATTTTTGTCCATTTTCTTACTTGCCTTGGTTAGGTCATGCTACATATGCCCCCATGGTCTTTTCTAGAGAGACCTGAAATCAGAGCAGGGTGGAATATATGAACACGAATGGAGCAGTACTGTCTCATTTAAGCCTCAAATTCTTGAAAAAGGACACGAAATGAGAAATCAACGTTGACATTACTTCAAATCAAGATTCCGTAAAACTTCACATTATAAAGTTACACAACATCAATCAGTTAAAAATGATGTCATAAAAGGAAATTATTCAAATAAAAATAAAAGCATTTCATAAATTGGTAGAGAAAAGAGAGAAGTACTTACTGTTCAGAAAACGCAAAAAACCCATGGGCTTTTACACAGCCAGTTGTTGGCTTGGACCCAAATCGGAAAATGAAAGAAAACAACAATAATGGGCCCAATGACCATTGGGGTTGTTGGATTTACCTCACTGCCCATCATTACATGCCCCACGGAACCAAATTTCTTTATCTCATTCCTATGCAGTGTTTTAAAGCTCAGACCGGTCATCGAACTGGTTGAGGTACTGAGTTACTGGATCACTGGTTCAATCGGGTTGAATCGGATTTACTGTTCACATACTAAAAGTATAAAAATATTATTTATATTAATAAAAATTCACATGAGAAAACTATCAATGAGCATCAAAAAATAAATTGATTTTCGATGATAGCAAATATTATATACTTCTAAGCTTCTAGCTCTAGACCATATCCTAATATTGGATTAAAATTGCAATATAAGTTAAATGCATCTTTTGTGCTTGACATGATACGGATAAATTAAATCATGATAACAAATAGTATGCATGAAATATACACTAAAAAAAAGTGTCCACCGTTGAGATGAGATCATGAGACCATAAGTGTTTATCACCACTTAAATTCATGAGATCATTATAAGATACAACTAAATTACATAAACGAACTGCACTAATCTAAAATACCTTATTATTTTCACCTTACTTTTAATCATATTCATCATAAAATATGAATATGATTTAATTCAATAGTTCTTATCAACCAAAAAAAATTACCAAAAGAAAAAAAAGAAGGAATAATCGGTCTAACCCGGGTCAACCGGTCCAATCTGGGTTGACTACAGAAGCGGTCCAACTACCTGCTCGGACCGGAAAACCCACCGGGTCACTGAGTCCCGGGTCGACCCGGCCGATCCGAGCCGGGTTTTAAAACACTGTTCCTATGTCCTTAATTCAATCATATTCTTCTGATTATATAACAGTAAGTCTGGAAAAAAAAATCAATAAGAGAGATTTACCTTTTTCACCGGTGTCATTTGTCAAATTTTTTTAGGCGTTTGGTACAAGGATTTTGACCGAATTCTCGGGAAACTGAATTTTTTTAAATTTTAAATTTCCGAATATTATCGTAAACTGAATATAAAAATTATATTTTTGAAAATCGAGATTCTCAGACAAAAAAAAATTCTCCTCTACCAAACGCCCATGAAAATTACATAATTCAAGACAGTGAAAGACGACATAAGATTTTATTCCCTCTCAAAGATTCTTTTATAAATAGCTTTTCTTTTGCCCTCTGAGAACGAATTTCTCATATCTCATTTTAATATATTTGAGTCATCTAGGTAGTGTTTGGTTTGGGAGAAAGTTTTTTTTACTAGAGAAATGTAATTGATAGAAAAATGGTTGGAAAGTGAGTTTGGTAGGAAAATGTAAAAAAAGTTGTTTGGTTGACCTAAATATTACCAGGGAAATTTATTTAAATATGAAAAATCTATGTTTGGGAGAAACTTTGCACCTGTTTTTTCACTTCCCCATTATCTCAAAATACCACATCTCAAATGGAATTCTGTAACAGTGAATTTTATCCAAAAATCAACACAAAAGTCATTTTTCCATCTATCCTATTTGCCTGGTATTTTTTGAAAAAACCTGAACCAAACGTGGTATTTTCCAATATCCACTTACACTTTCTCATCAATCCCAAAATAAACCTTCAACCAAACACTACCCTATAGTTTTTAAAAACAAATCAATGGTTAATATCATATTATTGTTTTTTTTTTATCTAATTCGGCTAGCTAATATCATATTAGAGTTACATAGAATCTTGATTAATTTTAATAATAAATTTAAATATTAACGTGATAATCATTTAAAATTATAAATGATTTAAATTATGTGATAATATTAAGATGAGACATCAAAGAGGAAACTTTTATTCCTAACCTAAACTCTCAATCCTCAAAATTTATTTAGTTTATATTTAAGGGATAAGTTATTTTTTCCACACTTTTTTTTTTTTTTTTTTTGTCTACTTTGTATATATTTTTTTTGATATCATTAAATTACAATTTTATCCAGCGACCGAGATTTTGTACAAACTCTTTTACCCTCTTCTCTTCTCCGTTTTCTTCCTTCTACCCAGTCACATTCATTCAAATGCTTTTTTTGAATGCTTGCTGTTACTTGTTCGTCTAAGCACCTTCTTCAACTCGATGCCAGATCCAGCATTGTTAATGGTAGTCGCAATCGAGTTCGCTCGCTTTTAAGGGCTTCTGGCATCACCACCACCTCCCCAATCCGCACTACAAGAGGTTACGGTTATGGTTATGGAATCAGTTTGAATCACAGCCAACCCAGAACATGCCCAAGTTTGCTTTATCCTATGAAGGGGTTTCTCTCTGATTCATTTGCTTCTTCTTCGCTACATTGCAGAGTAACCGGACCTGACCTACCACAAACTGTTCGTTCAAATGACTATCTCTCTCTTTTTCTTTTCTTTTAATTAAACAAATAGTTGTGTTGTGATTGGTTCAAATTCAATGGCTTTGATGCTTGCTGCTAATTTAATGTATATTACACATTGGTGCAGGTTGGGGCAATTACTCTTGTTGCTTTGACAGGACTTGTTGTCCTTATGCTTTTCTTTGTGGCTGTAACTCTATATGCCATCGTGGTTTCTTTAGCAGCAGCTGGAGGGTTCTTTCTTCTATTCTTTGCTTTTCTCACAGCCATATTTGCTATTTCCACTTGTTGCTACTCACGGCAAGTGCACCGATCGTACAAGTAATATATGATTAAGTAAGAGATCGTTCCCACGAGGATTACGGTTCAAGCACTAATTCACTATCGCAAACTTAGTTGGACAATCGAAAGTGTATTTAGAAACAGGATTTGAATTGCAAAATTAAAATATTAAATATTAAGCTAATTACTTGCAAGAATTAAAGACAAGAAATTAAAGATGTGATTTAACTAATAAAATAAAAACGTAGCTAGGGGTTCGATTTCCTTTAATCTCCTTATTATGATTCGAAGTCCTTCTTTACGTTAACCGTCCTTAATATCAATCTAACCAATTCTTTCGCGTGTTATTAGAGCTCAATCCCTTGTTACCCTAAAACCTTTACAAACTTGAAAGAACCCTAGTTCCCCGGTTATTCCCCAAGAATGCAAGCATTAAGTTCAAGAATCTTAAGGTTACGCAAATTCTATGTCTATCCCTAGAATCATAGCGTTTATGATGAAGTTATCAGATATGGGTCACACACCAACATCCCTATTGTCATGCATTTACCGATGATCATTATATAAGATTCAAGCCTATATAAAGCATTAAAAACAGATAACTTCATTCATGATAAAAAGGAAAATTAACGTACGAATTATTCAAAGCATAATAAATCGACTAAAATCCATCTAACCCTAACTACTTAAAGAACTAGCCGGACATGGCAAAATCAAGAACAAAAGAAAATAGAAAAGCTCCCCCAAACTCCATAAGTGATTGGTGGATCTTCAATATCTCCAGTGAACACTTGACGTTGATCCGTCTCCGCCCCTCACGAACATGAATCTGATGTTCCTCCGCGTTCCTTCAGCCTCCGAGCACCCAAGAGTTGTTTAGCAATGTAAAAGTTATGTATTTCTAGTCCCCAATGGTGTTTAAATAGATCAAGAGTTCGTATTGCAGTAGAAAACTTGAATGGGCCTAAGTTGGACTTGTCTGGGCGCTTAAGCTTGTGAATGGGGGCTTAAGCTCCCACTTCTAACAACTTGATAAGATCTTCAATCTTATTGTTTTCACCTTGATTCATCTTCTTTTCTGATTTGATCTCTCTTTATCTAAATCTTCATATTTGAATCATTTGTTATCAAATCCCTTTAAAAATAACAAATATATTAATTAGTTCCAACAATCAGATAATGTTCATGATTATCATTTTAAAACCATAATTTTTGACTTGTTCAACTAGATAATTCATATTATTTTAGTCCATTAAACAAGATAAACTAAAGGTTTATCAAACAATTCCCAGATTTGAACATTGTTGTCCTCAGCAATTAATTAGAATAAAACTATGGGAAAGTTTAGAGACGGCTAGTCATGTTTGATGAATAACAGGCAGAAAACTGATCAATAATGGGATATCAAAGTATTCAGACTTATTAAAAATCAATGACACATCAATTTCAAGCAAACAGTCATAATTCACCAGTCATAAAATCATAACATGCGTTCTCAAAAGAAAGAGTAGTACCATTTAATTTCCACAACACCCTCTCACTGGATTTTTATTTATTCACTCACACTCAGTGTTTAAGGGTATGTGTTTCACTCTTACTTTACTGAATTAAC